GGAAGTGCCGAAGTCCAGACGGAAACATTGGGGAGACCGAGCTTTTTCAGTTCGGGCTCCTATACTGTGGAATGGTCTGCCACGGGAGATTAGATCTGCTCCGAACCTGTCTGTTTTTAAATCACTTCTTAAAACGCATTTGTATTCACGGGCTTTTGACAATTTTATTGATTGATGTATTTGTTTTGTCTATGTATTTTTTTATTATTTTATTGTATTGATGTGTTTTATCTGGTCTTAGGTATTTTTATTATTATTATTATTATTTGTTTATGTTTTACTGGAAAGCACCTTGTAACGCAGGTTTAGAAAGGTGCTATATAAATAAACTTTGCTTGCTTGCTTGCTTGCTAATTATATAATTAATCTGTATTTTTATTTATTTTTTGTTAAAAACACTTTTTAATTAAGGGAGTGGTATTATATGGTTTTGGTTGTACATATACTTTTTAATTTTAGTTTTTTTGTCTAGTGTTTAAAATAACATTTAAATAAATCCCAAACAAAATAACATTAATAGAGAGGTGGATTAAGTTAAAGAACAACAAATGACTGAGAAAAACATCATTAACAATTATAATATGATAATACAATATATGTTCTGTTGTTCTACTGGGGGACTTCAACGCCCACGTGGGCAGCGACAGCGACACCTGGAGGGGGCTGATTGGGAGGAACGCCCCCCCCAATCTGAACCCGAGTGGTGTTTTGTTATTGGACTTCTGTGCTAGTCACAGTTTGTCCATAACGAACACCATGTTCAAGCATAAGGGTGTCCATCAGTGCACATGGCACCAGGACACCCTAGGCCGGAGGTCGATGATCGACTTTGTGGTTGTTTCATCTGACCTCCGGCCGTATGTCTTGGACACTCGGGTGAAGAGAGGGGCGGAGCTGTCAACTGATCACCACCTGGTGGTGAGCTGGATCCGATGGCGGGGGAGGAAGCTGGACAGACTCGGCAGACCCAAACGTATTGTGAGGGTCTGTTGGGAACGTTTAGCAGAATCCCCTGTCAGAGAGATCTTCAACTCCCGCCTCCGGCAGAGCTTTGACCAGATCCCGGGGGAGGTTGGAGATATCGAGTCCGAGGGGACCATATTCTCCACCTCCATTG